AGAGAGAGAGAGAGAGAGAGAGAGAGAGAGAGAGAGAGAGAGAGAGAGAGAGAGAGAGAGGGTGATCACAGAGAATATACCAACGGATTTTTCATTATACTTTCACAGTGAGTGAAAGCACAGACACACTGTGAATTAAATATTCCTGAGAAGAAAAATACGGGAATGGTTTGAATACATTTTTTTTGTTTTTTTTTTTTTGTTTTTCAAATTAATCTAATCCTCCTCACACCTATCAATTGAAGAATTTTCTTCGATTCTCTCGTAAAGAAGACTAAATAAAAATGAATAAGAAAAGAAAGATGAAAATGTATACAAATACAAATAGAAAAATTATTTGTTAATGTTAACACACACAAGTGACGTAGATTAACAATAATTAATCCAACAGATAACAAAAGTTTCATTATAGAAAAAGGAAAAAAAAAGAATAAAAGTATCAAGTTACATAGTTGGGGACTTATTTAACATGTGATTTAGGTTTGAAATAAATCTTTCCTCTATGCACCTATAAATTGCATTTTTCTTCATCGATAATATAATATAAAAAAAATACAAATAAAATAAAGATTAAGATGAATGGGAAGAAATATGTGAAGAAGTAAAAAAAAAAAGAAGAAAATTAAATAAAAAAGAAAAAGAGTTGGGGTGGTGGTGGTGGTGGTGATGGTAAGGAGTGTTAACAAGAGAGTGACGTAGATTTACAATAATTAATCGAATAGATAACAAAAGTTTCATTTAGAAAAAAGTGAAGAAAAATAAAAAGGTAACAAAAGAATAAAAGTATGGGACTTATTTAGTATGTGATTTAGGTTTCAAATAAATCCTTCCTCTATGCACCTATCAATTGCATTTTTCTTCATCGATAATATAATGTAAAAAAAAATGCCAAATAAAATAAAGATTAAAATAAATAGGAAGAAATATGTGAAGAAGTAAAAAAAAAATAAGAAAATTAAATAAAAAAGTAAAAGAGTTGGGGTGATGGTAGTGGTAGTGATGATGGTGGTGATGGTAAGGAGGAGAAGTTTCAGGTTACACAGTTTGATATTTGAGGTGATGCGGGTTGATCGCGTTGACGTTGTCAGAAACGTTGACATAAACGGCTTTGCAAGGACGAAGTTTGGGTCAGCAGGGACGACAATTCGCTATACTATAGTCGAGAGTGACATGCTTGGATCCTCGGAGAACTCGTTGTCGTCGTCGTACGTGTCGGCTAGCTTCTATTGTAGAAACGTGAATGGTGGGTCATTGTAGAAAGAGAGAGAGAGAGAGAGAGAGAGAGAATAGTTGCAAGTATACAGTGTACTCTATACATATATGTATATCTACATACGACTAGGACGAATGACATTCTCTTGGATATCCTGATACCAACGCTTGATCCTGCTTTTATCCTTCTAAACTATCTATATATGTATTGTACGTATTCACATATGTGTGTGTGTGTGTGTGTTAAGAGAACTTACGGAATTTACTATACTACTTGACTTTTGGATGATATACGAGAATAAATCGTTCGAATATTATATTATATTATTATAGTATGGAAACAGTGTTTGGAGTTTATTTGATAGGTGTAATAAATAATCATCGATGTGTGTGTGTGATTTAATTATTAATATATGTAGATTGTTTATTGATTTTCTTCTTTTCTTTTTTTGATAGAGGGAGGATTAAAGGATTGGGTAATATTTGTTTTTTTTTTTTTAGATTATTTTTCTAATCGATTCACATATTTGTGTTGTATCGTGATAAATTATTTCTTTTCTTTTTTTTTTTGTATGTGTATTATAAATTATATATTTAATTTTGATTAGAGATTCGAATCTCCTTAGAATTTATTATCTAATATTGTTTTTTAAGTGATAATTAGATTATTATTGGATTTTAATTATGTATGAGTGTAGAGTTTGGCGATAATTAATATTTAATTAGATGATTTAACACTTAGATAAATTATCATTTAATATTATTCACTAAACAAAAATGTATTGATACAATTAAATAATGAAATTAAATGATTGCAAAAATAATGTTTGTTCATAAATAATATTAAAATGAAAATTCGATAGATACGAATGAAAAATTTAAATGAAAATAATAATAATTTGAAAATTAATTTATAAAACAATCGAGTGTTTTTCGATGATAGTTAAAAAGAACAAACGGAAGGAAGGAAGGAAGGAAAGGGAAGGGAAGGAAATTGAAGGGAAGGGAAGGACGACGAGTTCGGTGGATTTTAATATTCAGTCGTGATTTTAAACAGTATGACAATGACGTGCGTTATAGAGAAATTACGCGTAACAGATTTACGAGGTGAGTTGACGACACGCGGAAACGTAAGCGGCCCATGAAACGGAATTAAATGGCGTTTCCGGGTCGTGCAATTTTTCTCTCAAATTTCTCTCTCTTTCTCTTTCTCTCTTTCTCTTTCTCTCTTTCTCTCTTTCTCTCTCTCTCTCTTTAGTTGTGTCGCGTGTAGCAAAGAGGAGGAGGAGACTCGTATGAGCTTACCCAAAAAACGTGCTCGTACTTCGGAAAAAACTAAAGTTAAAAAAAAAAAAAAGAAAGGAAAGAGAAAAATTACAAAACAAATGTTGCGAAAAAGGGAAGAAGAGAAATAATGGCCTTTGATGTTACGCGGGAATTGCATTTTTGTTTTTGTTTTTTTGTTTTTGTTTCGAGCTCGTAACAACGACTCAGTGCCGATTTTCGTGTTCGGTGAACTTTGCACCCTCGGAGTTAATCAAGGTCGAACGGAACTTGAGGAAATTTATGCACTAGGCTTGGAACAAAAAAGAAAAAAAGGGTTATTATTACCGCGTTTACGTGGAACCGCGAATTGTTAAAAAAAACAAAAAAAAAGGGAGAGAGAAAGAAAGAAAATTAAAATCGTAGATCCGTTTTATACGGGGTGTAACGTAACATTTATTAATGGCTATTAATTTAATCGTATTTTTTGTTTTATTTTTTATATATGGCGAATAAAATATACCGGTATAAATAATAATGCATTAATTAATAATAATAATCATAATCATATTCAAGATACTTATATAAACATTGTTCTAATTAATTAAAACATACTTACTCTCTGCGGTACGCCCATTCTCGTTCGTCCGTGTCTCGGGGAGCCCTGAGTTTGTCCTTGCTTTTCTTTTTTGTGTGTTTTTAAACCCCTCAATAGCCTCGAGAACGTGGTCTTCTTCTTACTCGTGTTATGTCCTTGTTCTGTAATCAAAGTGACAAACAAATCTTTGGATGATAAATTAATACACGTAAGAGAGAGAGAGAGAGAGAGAAAAAGATAGAGAGAGAAAGAGAGATATTATATTCGATGTGGTTGAAACAATCGAACGAGATGTTCGATTTCCATTCAATTCGATTCGGTTAAATTTCATTAGATTCGATTCGATTCGATTAGATTCGAATTCGTGAGACAAGGAAAATAGAAGAGTAGTATAGTTATGTACCACCATCAGAAGTGGGGGTAATCAAAGGTGGAAAGGGTGGTAAGGGGGTCAAGGGGGGATAAGGGGGGAAAGTCGTCGTGCTAGTTGCATTTATCGGACCGATGCGTGAAATCTTTGGAAATACCCAATTTACGGTATGCACCGGGCCGGGTATAGCACTACCACCAATCTCGCAAATAATCGAATAAATCGGGGTTCACCGCAACATCGCTGTCCATTAACGGATAATTCAGGCGGGCCCGTTAGTCGTCGCCCACGCCCATGCCCATGCCCTTTCAACGACAGTATATTGTATTAGTGTCAACGCATCCGTTTATTAGTACGGACAACAACGGTACCTAATTGCCAACCTATAGACGTACTGCTGCTGTTGCTGGTGATGGTGGTGGTGATGATGGTGTTGGTGTTGGTGTTGGTCACTACCAGGAACGAATTATCTCGGCTCCAGCTTGGTGCCGACCCGATGATCGACGAAATGATTCGTTCGAGCCCTCGTGTTGCCGTGCGAATAATTCACTTTGCATAACGTGTTCCTCGTTCGTTGGTGGTGTCATCGATGGTGGTCATACGAATGGCTTTCTATCACAAAGAAACATTCGACAAAACCTGGTGCTTGCTTCCAATGACCTGTCGCATCTATCGGAACTCATTCTCTCTCTCTCTCTCTCTCTTTCTCTTTCTCTCTCTGTCTCTGTCTCTCTCTGTCTCTGTCTCTTATTCTCATTGCAATAATTAACGTATCTCATTTTCGAGTTAATACGTCTGTTTCTATCCTAACCCATGACGTTTATCATCAAGGACATTTCACATAAATGGAATTTTGAAGGAACTTGTCTATGGTATTCTATGTTGTAATCTAACAAGCATATTATCTCAAAACCACCACCATCACTATTATTATCAATATCACTCATCATTACAACGCTCCCATCCACCCATTTCGTTTACATTATCATTCGTTGGATTTCTATTTTGAAATGTAACCATTGAATTATAGCCGATTCCAACAGATGGGACTAGAACTGAGATTAGAACTAACATCCGTTGATAGGTAAAGCCCTGTAATATCCACGTTGTTAATGTAATCAATAATAATAATTACGTGTAATCTGTAAATATTCGTAAATTGTTTTGTATAGGTTACATTAATTATAGATTTCTATTAGGATTGATTATATTATGAAGTGTAATTTGTGCAGATATCGATGATACGCATTGATAATTTGTTATTCGTGTAATCGGGCAAGCATTATCCTTTAGCTTTTACCTCATTGATTTCTATCGGTACGTGTAATTACAAGGGTTAACATGTTACGGATGATTAGATTAGAGATTAGAGAGTGAAAATCTAATAAATTATTATCACCCGTTTAATATCATTAATTATATAACCTTTCGACTAATCAAATTTAGAAACGAAACGAATTATCGTTTGAATTCAAACAAAAAGAAGAAATGGAAATTAGGTAACATGGGAAAAATGTATATTGTTTCGATAGAGAAAAATTTGTCTACTTGGTGTATTTTTCGAGTAAAATAAAAATAATGAATTTACAGAAAAAGTGCATGCCTCGACATTTTTCGATTATCAAATTTATTTATTTGTCTCGATTCGCGAGAACATTTATCGATTGTCGGTGATAGTTCTTAAAAGAAAACAAGAAATTGTGGAAAATGTTTATGGTGAGGGGGGAGGGAGGGTGAGGGGGAGGAAAAGAGGAAGCAAGGGAAAAGGTTTTAGAAAGATAGAAAAAGAAAGAATGGAATAAGAAGGCAAAAAGAAAGTTTGTCGAAGTAAGCAATCGAGGAAATTCGTTGTTGCGAATCGAGCTAGCGGAAGTTGCTATTACTCGAAGCGAGGAGGATCGTTTCTATGGTGGTATAAGCCAAAGAAATAACGCGGAAGGAGAGGCCACAAGGGTAAGATAGAAAACTGGCTTTCATACGAGGGTTGAGGGGAATATAAGAGGCTCGTGGGACCACCATCGCGAGTAAGAAGAACGAATGTCTCTCCTATCTTCGTAATATTCCGATATATATATATATATATATATATATATATATATAAATATAATACTGAAAGCTTTAACTACCATGAGTGTGTCTTGTTCGGAACGAATGAATCCCATGGAATAAAAATAAACTCGATTGGGATAGGAGAAGGAGGATCCCCCGATCCAATAAGTTTTTCTTTAATGAAACGAAAAAGAGGGGTGGGGGGTGAAGAAAAAATAGAAATAAAATAGAAATTGTCTATGTGTGAGAGAGAGAGAGAGAAATAAAATACGAGGACAAAGGGGGAAGTAAAAAATTAAGAGAGGGAAAAGAAACTGTAAAAAAAAGAGTAAATAAAAAAAGGAAGCAGAAATGAATAAAGAGAGAGAAAGAGAGAGAGAGAGAGAGAGAGAGAGAATTTTTAAGGCTGTAAAAGGACGAATAGGATGATAAGTAAAATGGTAAGCAAGAGTAAGTACAGGGATTACCATAAACAGAGAAAAAAAAAGAATCGATCAAGGAAGATCGAAGGAAGTTCCCATTTCTTTCTCTCAAAGTCGCGAGGGGTAGAATAAAAAAAAAAAAAAAGGAAAGGGGAGGGTTCTAAATTTGCCGGAAGGGGGTGACAGACGAAGAAATGGAAAGAGAAAGGGAACGAGTAGGAGGATCACGATAAAAAATAAAAAAGCTCATGGAATTCGTTCCGTTCGGTCCGTTTATCGTCGTATCTTTCCTCTTCGAAGTTATTTATCCACCCTGTATAATATATATACCCCTTCCCCGCCACCACCACCTCCAGCACCCCAACAATCTTTTCCTCCATTTTCCTTTTCTATCTATCCATTTCCTACGTGCTTCTAAACTTATTTAATTCGAAGCAAGCTCGAAATGATTTTTCTCATCTTTTC